TAGACTCCATCCAAGTCCACCCAGATTCCTGTAAGGGTAGGAGGGAGGAAGGAAAAAAACTCACACCAGTACAGCTATGACCATGGCACTTCTGTGTCTTTCACTGGCAACTCACTGCCAAATGAGTTAAGTATAATGTCCTTTCCATCCATGTTAGTCAAGGTCGAGAATAAAATAGCTCTAACCTGCCTTTTAACTTCATTTCCCACTATTCCCCTACATGACTTCCATGGTTCTAGAAAAACAGAAGCACTAACTATTCTGTGAATATATTTCATAGTTTTTCCGTCTCTTTGCGAAGTTCCTTCCGACTAGAACTCCCCTCCTTCTTACACATTGACTCCAACATTAATTTCTACTTTTACCCATTCGTTTAGAGCTAGATCACATATTACATCCACATTTAAGGATTTTTTTTTTTTTTGTAACCCCCTAAGGGGACTAATAGCTCTCTTCTTGGAAATTCAATAGTACTACTACATTTACATCCCTGTGAACTTATCATTCTCTGCCTGGTAATTTTTGTGAGGAAGATCTGGGTCCTGCCAACATACTGAATTAGCACAGACTGCTGCTTCTTCTCCGAATGTTGTAGTGCCTGGGCTGTGAGCAACCTGAGGGCAGGGACTACACCAGACTATCCTTGTGTCCACCACAGCACATAGTAGTTATTCAATAAGTATTTTTTGAATTACTGAATATCCAGCAGAATCACAAATACATCCCCAAGTGTCCTGGCTCATGAACTTCTTCCGAACATAATCTTTATAAAATCCTTCATTAAACAGAGACTCAACAGCATATTCACATACATGAGGAAATTCAGAATTTAAGAACTAAATATAGTAAAATAAAGGTAAGAATACTAACAGATTTAAGATGAATATATACAAGAGGGAAAAACTAACGGCCAGCAGTTAGTTAGGCATCAGAAAATCTCCATCCTCTTACACAGAGTGTACACATTAAGGCCAAAAGTCTAAAGCTAATGACCAAAACCTGAAAAACAATTTGCAAATTAATGAACAAAGGCTCTGTTCACACATTAGGAAAGAAGATTGTTCTGAAATTAGACCCAACACCTTGATTACAAGTGCCTTTGCAAAATGTGACTGTAAAGCCAAGTAAGACTGTAACTTGTGGTAAATTACTCAAGGAGAGGAACTGTGTTTTATTCATCTTTACGCTTCCCCCCACCATAGTATCTGATGGATCAGATCAAAAGATACTTGTTAAAATTAACAGACATTTAAATGACTGTTGTCTCATTTTAATTCAGCCACCTTGGAAGACGGATGCACTGTAACCATAATTTTTGTTTTTTTTTTTTTCATTTCAAAGACCGTACAATTGCTCTCACTATCTATGGAAAGAAGTTAAAATTCCTTAGCCTGGGATTCAAGTCCCCTCTCAATTTTCTTTTCATTTTTAGTCTTATAATCTTCTTTCCTTTTCTTGTCTCATGTCCCACTTCTTTCCTTCAAGCATCTTACGTGCCAGTCAAATTGAACTTCCCTGATTCCACACTTGCTTGGCTTTATACCTGTGGTTGTTTAGAAATTTCTTATGTCATTTATCATTTTCTCCCTTGCATTGTATCTTATATACAGCTTGTTTCGCTTACTAGATTTTAAGTGCCTATGTTAGAGACCGTGTCTTTTATGCTTTTATTTTTATTACTTAGCACACGGCCCGGCACATGGCACCAAAAAAAAAAAAAAAAAAAAAAATTCTATTGAAGGAATTACTGAATGTATGAATAGTGTCAATACAGTTCAAATATGGAAACTACCTTTTGGCAAGCCATTCAAGAAAAATGATTTCCTTCATTTACAGCAGTGGGCATAAGAAATACCTGGGATATAGGAAATACCTAGGAAACTTGTTAAAAACGCAAATTCCTGGTATTAGGTGTCATCAGGGGATTGAAGGGATACCAAAAGGCAACATAATTACCTAATAAGAAGCGATAATCTCCTGGACCATGGCTGACAGTAAAGGGAACACAAAGGAAGAAAAGGGATGAAAGAGAATAACAGGCACTTTCCTGGCAATGGGAGTCATCATCAAACTCTTCCTTTGTAGAAAAGTCATTTCTTGGCTGGTTTTCCTTATATCTAACATTTGACTTTTGAAATCAGGATGACAGTATGTGTTTACTTTAAATCCCAGTCACCTAAATGGACACTGAGAAGCAATTAATATTTTTCTCAGAATACTTTTCAGATATGAACCATATTTCCAAATGTACAATACATAGGCTAAATGACAGTAACTTTTTATCCAATAAAGCTCTTTGGGGAAAAAAAAAATGCTACTACGTGTTCGGTATTGCAAAAGATAAGCTCTGGTTATAAAGCAGCAAGGCACTGAGAGAACTACCATGTTTTCTTTAGATTATTTCAAACGGAAGCTCTGAATTATAGGAAGTAAGACTTCAAGTAGCTAAGAAGAAAAGAATTTTGCCTCTTAGAAGTCTGTAAAATGCCAGTATTCTTCTAAACTTCACCCACTAAACTCCTTAGGTTCGATTTAGTACACACTATCACTTCTCCATCCATTTGGCAAAGACTTCATAGAGGAATGTTACAGAGGCTCAGAAATGGAGACTTCTGGAAAAATGACCAAAGCCAGAAATAAAGTTGTGCTAATTAGAAAACAATTAAATGGCCAAACCCAAACGCTGTGTGATGCTGAAAAGAGATAAATTCCTAAGGCAGACCATCTGTCTTACAGCTTTTATTTTGCTGTACTACAAATCTACTCAGTATAATTTTGCAATGATCTAGCTGCTAGTTTACTTGCACATTTACTTTAGACCAGAAAAACTAATTGCACAGAATCCTTTGAGAGATCAACACACTCAAAGAAGACGGCAAATATAACCCATTCTTGAGAGAAGACTATTTTTTTAGCCCTTCAAGTAAAAAAATTGTTATTCAAAGAAATGATTATAAAATGCCAAAGGAAAGTTGGAGAATTTAAAAGAAGAGTGATGTCACTATAAATTCATGGTATCTAACTTATCTGAGCCTTCAAAGGTCACTATCAACCTCTCTGTTGGCCAGTCTGATGGAAACTTCTCATTTCCCATCTTGACCTCTCAGCAGCATGTACCTGGGAGCTGACTGCTCTCACTTTATCAAACATTGCTCTCACTTAACTTCCCTGGCACCACTCTCCTAATTTTCCTACTTCTTCATTAGCTATACCTCTCAGCCTCCATTACTAGCTCCTCCTCCTCTACATGTTATAGTACCTGAAGGCATGGTCCAAGGACCTCTTCTCTCTATCTGTACTTTCTTCCTAATTTATCTCTTCAGCCCATTAGCTTTATATGGCATCTACATATTAATGATTCCCAAATTTATATCTCTAGCTCAGACTTCTCCTTCATTGCAGACTCATGTATTCAATTACCTATTTCATAACTCCACTTGGACATCTAATAGGTATCTCCAACTTAGCATACCTAATATGGAACTCTTGGTTCACACCCCACCCCAGCAGAAAAAAAATTGATTTCTCTCAGTCTTTCACATCTCAGTAAGTGACACCACCATCAAACCAGTTGTTAAGGCAAAATCTAAAAGTCATCTTTAATTCTTCTGTTGTCCCCATCCCCCCTCTAATCCATCACCAAGCCCAGTCAATAATACCTCTAAAATATATCTCATATTTATTTCTTTATCTCTATTGCTACCACACTATACAAGCCATCATCATCTCTCAACAATACAACAAAGAGTTGTCTAATTCCCTATTTCCAAGCCATTCCCCACCCCAACAGCTAGAGTGATCTTTTAAGAATGTAATCATATGCTAATTTACATTTAGGATGTAATCATATCATGTATCTAACATAAATAATTAACAGATGTTCAATAATTTTTTTCATAGATGAATACTGCTTAGTAATATTCCCAACTATCTCTAGAAATCTCCAATCAGAGTTCTCAGACACTTTCTGAGATACATACAGACCTATTCATTTACTAAATCATTTATTGAGTACTGTATTAATTGGGATTAAGTTCAGCTGCATATTTTGCAGTGTCTTAAACATAAAAAAGTCTAGAGGTGGGCAGTACCAGGCTAGCACAGTCACTCTGTGAGCTAAGAGCCCTGGTCCCTTGCATATTAATTCTCTGCCATCCTCAGCGTATGGATTCCACTTTATGGTTTAACGTGGCTTCTCAAACGCCAGCTACCACATCTGCATCCCAGTTACCAAGAAGGAGGAAGGGCATGAGGAATGCGTACCTCCTTCATTTAAGGACACTTCCCAGAAAGCACACACTTCTAGTTATGTGTCATTGACCATCATGATAACTAGCTGAGAAAAGAAGGCTGGGGAACAAAGTCTTTTAACTAGATAGCCACGTTTCTAGCTAAAGGTCAGGATCCTTTTAACCACAGAAGATAGAGAATATTGGGAGGAAAGTAGCAACCTCTTCCAAAGTTCCAGGTAAAATTCTGGGTGCAAGGATACAAAGATCAGTAAGATACAGGGTCTATGCTTGAGGCATTTAGTCTAATAGGGGAAAGCAATATGCAAATGGTAATTATTCAAGATTTCAAACAAGGTAACAACTACTGTTTGAAGACCTTGTTTTAAGTCCTCAAAAATACCCTGAATCCAAAGAGAGGTTCATGGTTCCAGTGCTTTACATCACTGAACGATACAGACTATTTCAATATTCCACAGCTTTAATAATCGGCATCTCTAAGCTCTATTCTATTGTACATGACAATTCATGACATTGAGCAAAGCAAAGATCATTTAAATACATAAACATATATAAACAACTCTAGTAACAGCAGTAACAGTTTGAAAATGCCCACTTCAGAAATGTGCCAAGACTCAATTTTTTAACTTGTCAGATAATAAAACAACTGACTGCTCTAGGAAGAAAATACAAAACCATAAGGCCAGTTAAAAAGAAATAAGCAATAGTAACATGTCAGAAAGAAAAGAAAGAAGTGATACTGCAACTCACTGTTATCCACTGAGTATCTAGCAGTTCCTTAGCTGTGATTCTGTGAGCAGGATCAACTTTCATAAGTTGTTTCAAAGCACTTTTAGCTGCAAACAAGGGAAAATCCTGAAAGTCTTATTCATCTTAATTACAATTAATATGACACATTTTCCAATTTACTTAGGATGAGGTTTGTATGACATGAAGGAAAGACGCCAATTATAAAATAAACGTCATCAGTATAGATAGCTAATAAATAAAGCTGAAGGCCTACAGTAAGGTTTTATTATCTGTATTATCTAATAATGGTCTAGAGTAAAAATCAGTTAGATTATCAGCAAATTTCCTCTTCAATTTTTAATATATAGTTTGTTTTGTTGAAAGAGTCACAGTGAAGATAACATTATTGCCACAAGTAAATAGTGTTTGCTTTATTTCCACAAGTAAATTTAATGACTATACAGAGATTTTAAATATTTGAATTATTGACTGAGTTTCTTATATTATTTACATTTGCATTAGTAAATAGGAACAGAAATCTGTACTTACCACAGTCACTTATGGAATCCCAGACTGGAGCTCCAAAACGTAGTTCTCCCTTTCTTATTAACTCAAAAAGTTTATCTTCTGAGTTTGCCAAAAAGGGTGGCTCTCCACATAATCTACAGCAAAGGCAACAATTTTTTAAAATTAAAAATACGGAATAAGTCGGATTCGACTTACGGCAACGGGTTTTTTTTTTTTTTTTTTTTCTTCTGAGTTTGCCAAAAAGGGTGGCTCTCCACA